GGGACTAAATTCCCAGCCTCGGTGCCAGGGAATCCAGCATGATGGGACAGATCAAGTTCATCAGGTGGGAAGAGGGGCGCCACCTGGAAACTTCTGGTGGGCGAGACTAACCCTCTTTCCCACACCATACAGTTTAGTCCCTGACTGGCTCTCTGCCCAAAGCCTTTTCAAAGAACAGAGGGCCCCTGACAAATCACTGCTGCGTGTATTGAGCAGACTTCTCCACTGGACCTGACATGGCTGCGCGGCCTCTCTAACAGTCATAGACCGGAGCAAATTTCCCAGGCTGGTGTTGTGACAATACAAGTGCTCCTTTCTTGGGATGGTGTGGTCCAAGTCTCCCAGGGGGACAAAATCCCCACTGATTCCTACTTCCATATGCTACAAAGCTCCCTTTCCTGTCTCTGTTGCTCTGGGTTGGGGAGCCCTGCATGGAATTGAGACCCCACAGTCCTAAGGGGAAGGATTTTGCATGTGGATATCTCTCCAGCTTCTCAGCCACTGCACCTGTGTGAGGGAGTTCACCCTCTCGGAGTCTCTGCGCCTTCTACCAGTTTCTTCCTGGCTTCTTCTGTGCTTCTTGGTGGTATTATTTCAGATAAGCCATACTTCACCTGGTTTTGCAAGTTGATTGTTCTGTAGTTTAGCTGCAAATCCAGTACAGGGTTGGAAACAAGTGGACAGAGCTTCCAACTACTCTATAGCCATCTTGGGATCTATTCCCTGCATTTTTATTACTATTACTAGAGGCCTGGTGCAGGAATTCATGCATGGCTGGCAGGAGGGGCTGGAGGAGGTTGGCCGGCTGCAGTGCGCGACATAGCGACCGGTCATGCCAGTCATTCCGGTCGCTTGGCTTTTATATATATATAGATTTTTACATATCAATATTCTGTTTTTATAAGAGGCATAAACTTTAGCAGAACTGTACATGATCTGGGATTTAAGAGGTTTGTGTTCAGTGCTGTTTAGGTATTTTGGGGATCCAGTTGGAGGAACATTATCTTCAGTATGGAACTTTCAAATTGATTGCATCACCTATTGATGACAGACCTTGATGAAAGAGCTCCATGTTCTGATCCTGTGTGGGGAGGCAGAAAGACAGAGGTTCTGAGAGCAAATGCTGACATCAGTCGTTTATTCTTATACTCAGATCCACATCTCTACAGCTTCTAGGTTGTCTGACCTTGGTCATGTAATTTATGTTTCAGATTCCGGTTTTCTCATCTAGAAAATAGGGATGATGTTAAGGATTTACATCAAAGGGCAGTTATGAGGATAAGCTAGATAAAAAAATCTCTAACACTCGTATCGGTGGCTGACAGTAAGTACTCAATAATGTTGAACATTATTATGCAGAAATTTGATAAAGAATGATCTCCTGCTTCTACTTTATAACACAAGTAATTTCCGCGATCCTTCTTTATTTCAGTTCTTGCTATCAGTATGCTGTGAAAACCACGTGGCTGCACTAGTGTCATCTTCCAGTCCTGAGCAGGCACTGACACAAAATGGTTAAAATGGTTATCTGAGCCTTTGAGCAGCAGATTGTCTCACAGACAGCAATTCACAATTCACAATTGCCATGGCAGCAACTCAACAGGCAGAGCTCTCTCTCCATCTTGATGTTGTGAAATGAGGTATTCATTTATATGCATGCGTATACTACCTTTTTTTGGTTTTACCTTACATCCCCTATAAAGCCATACTCAAATTTTCTTTATTCAGTGTTGGAATTAGGAAGGGAGGAAGGAATGGTGTTGAGAGGGCAGAAACACATTTGGTTCTAGAAAGATAGAATGACTAACTTGGATATTCAGCATCGAGTTCTCTCTTTTTTTTAAAATAGCGCTTGGGTGTGGTCCTTAGCTAAGTCCACTGTGCTTTTCTCTCATTATATTTAAAAGGGAACTTTCAGTAGAGGTTGATGTCTTTGGCAATTTTAACAAAAAGGAGCCCAACGTAGGTGGTAGGGACAGAGGATTTTCAAAGGAGCCAAAAAATGAACTGAGAATTCACAAGTCTTGCCATGGCCTCTCCTCCTAATTAAGGTGATGTAATCTAAATAAGCTGTGTTAGGTGCAAATAAAAAGATCCAGGGGGTATTACTACATAGTGTAGTAAAGAAAACACATATTCAAATAAATAATAGAGCAGATGTAAAATCATAAATTCCATTATAGAAATTTCCAGGCACTGCTGGGGACTCTGCTCAGGGACCCCCAGATTGCTTTGACCATTTCTGTGATCCTCTCCCCAGTTTTCGGATGGTTTTGCCCACAGTGTTCATGTTCTTACCAGAGAACTCCCCTTGTCCATTAAAGCCACTTTGCCTTGATATACTTACAGCCTGAAATGCCTGGAAGTTTTTATATTTCAGAGATGAGGGCTTAGCCAGTGAAGGCAGGGAAGGGGGAAATTCTAGCTTTCTTGCGTTGGGTCCAGAAAAAGTCCAAGTTTTAACTTACACTCCAGAGCTCCCCTTCAGGATCAGACTGACGCTGGGGCTTCTTCCCCTTCTGTGTCCTACTTCCTCACTCCCTTACCAGTTTTTCCTGGGAACTCTTCCTTCATAAATCACTTGCACATAAAACTTCATTTTTGCATCTGCCTCTGGGTGAACCCAACCTAAATCATAAAGATACTAGAGGCCCAGTGCATGAATTAGTGCACAGGTGGGGTCCGGCCAGCCCGCCCCGATGGAATCCAATAGGGGCTGGCCCAGTGGGGGAGAAGTTACCATGGGCGGTTGGCCATCCCTGTCCCTGATCAGGGTTCAGGGAGTAATTGGGGGCAAGTCTGGCCAGGGGGAGGGGCCAGGCCAACCATGGGGACGGCCACAGGAAGTTGAAGTTGAGAGGGGTGCTGATAGGGGCCCCCATCATGCCAGTTGGCTGATGCAGTGCACATCATAGTGATTGGTCATTCTGGTTGTTCCAGTCGCTTGGCTTTTATATATATAGATTTTAAACAATTGATGAGAATACTGGGGACAAAGTGAAGAATTTTTAGAGAGGAATATTTCCTGGAATAATGACATTTGATTTGGTTTTTGAGTAATAAACAATCTTTCAATAGAGAGATGGAAGGGAAAGAGACTCTAGGCCAGTGGTTCTCAACCTGTGGGTCGCAACCCCTTTGGCGGTCGAACGACCCTTTCACAGGGCTCGCCTAAGACCATCCTGCATATCAGATATTTCCATGACGATTCAGAACAGTAGCAACATTACAGTTATGAAATAGCAACGAAAATAATTTTATGGTTGGGTCACAACATGAGGAACTGTATTTAAAGGGCCAGAAGGTTGAAACCACTGCTCTAGGCAAAGGATCAGTATTTGCAAAGGCACCATGAACAGAAAGTTTAGGAATGAGAATACAGCCTGAAGTAGGTCATCCTACATGGCTTTCAAGCCTCTTCCCTGCCATACCATGGGCAGTTTATTGGATCTATCTGTGCCTCAGTTTTCTAATCTGTAAAATGGGGATGCTTTTACTTGCCTCTCGGAATATTTTTTTATGAGGGTTGAATAAAACAGCATTTGTAAAGTACTTAGAACAATGCCTGACATAAGGTAAGTACCCCATACAACTTCTTTTTGTTATTGTTACTGTTTCAGGTGATAAGGGCAGTTGGTAGAAACATATAGAGTATAAGCCAGTGATGGCGAACCTATGACACGCGTGTCAGAGGTGACACGCAAACTCATTTTTTTGGTTGATTTTTCTTTGTTAAATGGGGTTTAAATATATAAAATAAATACCAAAAAATATAAATCTTTGTTTTATTCTGGTTGAAAATATAAAAAAATTTCTCTATGTGACACGGCACCAGAGTTAAGTTAGGGTTTTTCAAAATGCTGGCACGCCGAGCTCAAAAGGTTCGCCATCACTGGTATAAGCCCTCTGAGAAGGTAGACCATACAAGCCCTCTGATATGTAATATGTGGTCCTCACACTTCTCCAGAGTCCTGAGAACATGGACAAGGAGCAGCTTAGTAAATGCTTCCTCACCTCCAATAAACATTTAGACCCCAGTTGTGATGATCAGTGAGGACACTCTTACAAGAGCTTGAATTAGAGATAGGAGCAGGCATTTGACTCTACTAATGGGTAAATATGTTTCTCCAGCATATAGTGATTATTTAAATATTAAAGAAAAGAGAGAATCAAGTCATATATTTCTCTAAGACTTTCTTGATAACTGACTGCATTTTTGGAGTAGTCATCCCTCCTACTGTGACAGAAAGCTAAAGTATGGAGAGATGGTGGCAGGAGAAAAAAGTGAAGATGCCAGTCGCCACTGCTTTGAATGTCCAACTGTGAAGAGCCATGGAAGCAGAAATAACTACAGTACAGAGAAAGCTGCAGAACTGGGTATCGGTGGTTTGCGGAGTGAAGCTGTGGGAAAGTCACTAGTGCAGAGGACTGCAGAGGGGAGAGAAAAAGTCGCATTTCCGGGTTACTGTGTGTTGTGGAAATGGATAGCGGGGTGAGACAAATGAGCGCAGACAAGAACACAGTGACTGTCAGAACATCTGCTGAGGGGAAGCAGCTTTTCAGGGCTGCAGAGCTGAGCCTGAGTTTGCAAAACAGGAAAGGAACTTGTAAACACACATTCCAACCATTCGCTGCAGCTATTTCTGAGATCATTTGTTCACGCAAAATTCCAAAGACAGCGACATAGACTCGGTGTGCTGAAGATGGGTGCTCAATTGGGGCTGTGGAAGCAAGCAACTTAGAAATGGTGAGAACTGGGGAGACTTTTATTCTACCAAGCTATCATTTGGTTGAAAATGAGCTAATATTGGTGCTGCATTTTGATTGGCTGAGAGTCTTCTGAAATAATCTACACTAATAAAAGAGAAACATGGTAATTGGCGTACGACCGCTACCCTTTTCATTGGCTAATCAGTGAGTATATGCAAATTAACTGACAAACAAGATGGCGGCTAGCAGCCAGGCACTGAAGCGAGCAGGGAGGCTTGCTTGCTGCAGACTCCAACATTCCCCGCCTCACTTGCCAGCCTCTCAGTTGCAACTCTAAGCAACTATATACTATGTTGCAAATAAGAAGCTAAACAAAACCCCAGAAAAGGGCTTCCATTCAGCCGGGCTCGGACCGCAACATTGTATCTATGTTTTCAGCAGCAAGGCCCCAGAGCTAAAGCTGGCCAAAAAAAAAAAAAAAAAGAGAGAAGAAAACAAGGAGCGGTTGGAAGCTTTAGTCACTCGCCAGCCGGAAAACAGCCCTCAGCCCCTCACCCAGACTGGCCAGGCACCCCAGTGGGGACCCCCACCCTGATCCAGGACACCCTTCAGGGCAAACCAGCCAGCCCCTACCCATGCACCAGGCCTCTATCCTATATAGTAAAAGGGTAATAGGCCTCCCAGCACCGGGATCAGCGGAGCAGCGAGGCTCCCGGCACCGGGATCAGCATGACAGGGGGCAGC